ATTAGAATGAAAGAGTTAAATTCTCGGGAGAACAAAAAGGTTTGCCATTGATAAAAAGAATCTCTAAGTCCGTGTTACATGTGCTCTGTAACACTGTGACATCTGTGCACCAACCTTCATTTATGTAGAGACAGATTCCCCCTCCTCTCGTTTTCCCGGACAGCTCCGTTACACGATCCGCTCTGTACACCTGGAAACCCAGTACTTGGATTGCGCTATCTGCAATGGAGTCGCTGAGCCAAGTCTCCATGAAGCATAAAGTAGCAGAGCATGTGAAGTCAGAGTTGGTCCTGTTGACGAGAAGGATTTCATCCAGCTAGTTGACCAGGGAGCAGAGATTTTCTAGGTGGATAGGCGGGAGTGGAGTCTGGGTCCCTCTCTAGCGTAGCCTCACCAAGCTGCCCGCTCGTTTGCCTCATTGGTGTTTCTTCCAGGTCCCGTAGATTGCAGCTGTGCCTCCGATCAAAATGTTCACACAGCATTGTTGTTCGCAAGAACTGGAGAACGGTAGTTTGGTGTAAGTTGTCCGATATTTAACAGTTCTTCTCTGGTAAAAGTAATCCAGGATGGGTTGCAAAAAACATAAAAAACAAAATAAAACAACAATCACAAGAGAGCACGAGTAACCAAGGCTGCTGTAATACCCCAGTTCTTTTATTGGACAGATCTGAATAAGGAAGGAGTCCATCTTTTTTCATTTTACTGCTGATTTATTTTAAAGCCACAAATAAAAATTACAGAACACAACCCAGGTGGCTCCCTGCTCCAGACAAGCTGCTGGAAGAAAGGAGCTCCCGGAAACACAGAGCCTAATACATTTATAAGTATTGGGCTAACCTCTTACACAAAAAGATTACAAAACATCACAAGATGGAGACAGTCTGTTGTTTCCTTCTCTTATCTAGAGCTCCAGCTGCAGACTAGAGCAGACTTTAATTCTTACTAAATTGCATTACTAATACATTTGATTCAACACATTAATGTCTAATAATTATCTAACTGATTTATTAATATCTAACACTGCCATTGCTGTCGGGGCCATCTTACAATACATTTTACATACACAGGAGTATATAATTATTTCAAGTTATAAGCATATAAGATACTTAAAACTAGCTCCACCTTTACCAGCTGCAACATTAAATGTGATGAACTCAATAATGCATCAGTAATGGCCAGGGACTCCTTTTTCCAGCAGCAGTGTGGTTGTTGTATATGCAGAAGGTCTTGGTGGGCACGCACACATCCTCACAAAAGCTGATATAAGATGCAACAGTGTCAGTGAGTTTGTCCAGGGCTGTAGCTGCAGTCTCAAATCAAATCATATCATATACATTATTGTTAAATGTGCCATTCTGCATAATGAGGACCTTTAGTACTTTAAGTATGTTTGATACTAGTACTTTGTACTTTTACTAAAGTAACATTTTGAATGCAGGACTTAAGAGGGTATTTTTACACTGCAGTAGTATTGTTACTTTTACTTAAGTAAGGGATCTGGGTAGTGATTTTCCCTCTGATACCAAGGCTCTGAAGTTGGCTTCAAAATCTGAAGGGTATTTTTCTGAAGCACTGTGCCGGAGCTTGCTTCAAATCGAGAAAAACCACGTGACTAATGACATTCGAATCACTTTCCTGCTTCATTCAGACTTAATCATCTGACTGGTTTTGTTCCATAGGCAGAGCTTTGAAACATTACATTACTGCCATACAGATGTATTTAAACCTGCTGCTTCCTCAGTCCAATCTTTCGTTAGAACCACCCCCCGCATCCATGGACCAGAAAACACAGTAACTCAAGAGAAAATTTACACATATTAGCAATACAAAATTAACCAAACCTGCATGCTCATTGATCAATTATGTATGTCCAATATCAAACAATACCTAAAATATAACTTAAAAACTACACACCTAAATAAAGAAAACAAAGATTACCCAACCAATTCTACTGCTACTGGTGGTGGTGGTTTAGGCCCTTACATGGTGAAGACCAGGGCTGAGACTTCACACTACAATAATGATTCATTCAAAATCTATCTGGTGGTAGCATGAGACTAGAATCAATTGCTTCTGCTCCACCCAGCCCTCCCTCTCCTCACTGGCTGCACTGTGCTTTGCAATCTACCTGACCCTTCATGAACATGAAAGCTTTACACAATGTCACGTTTTGGAGAGAAATTCACAAAGTCAGTGGGCAGCATTCAAGCGGTGGGTATTAAAAACTTGTTATCTCACCAAGCTGACTACCCTACTACATGTCTAGAGTAAACACAGCACAGACCACCACAGGACGAACAGACAAAACACTTTTAGCGCCAGCACTGTTTGTGGACATAGGCAAAGAAACAAGAGCAGGCCCTGCACTTGCACAGAAAAGCTTTTTGTGAAGCCATTTTGCATGGATACATCACGCAGAGCATTTAGCCACTCAAGCTCTTCTATCATCATATACAGGACACACACTGTTGGAAAACACATCTGAAATGTTTTTAAACAAGGTCAAGTTTAGCTACATCTGAATGAACCCTCAACAGCAACTCTCCCCATTAAGATCGGTTTGGGGAGATGTTTCTACTAAAAAATATCTGGCTTCTACTGCTTACTGTAGCTTCAGGCGAAAAAAATGAGAGGAGGAAGAGTTTCTCTCATGCATGTTGTGAATAAAGTCAAACTTTCACAATGATCTCCACCAAATTTAAAAAACACTTCCCTCATTTTTTCCCTTAATGCAGCCATAACCCATTATCATATCAGTGTTAATTTTGGCATGTGAAATTGATTTAGCGTCTAGTCAATGAAATCTAAATACACTTTAGCTAACATCCATTTGACTTCACAAGTCAACTGGGTAACGCCATTTGTGAAGACAGGTGTTTCCCCTGAAATAAATGGCATAGAGGTAGTGATTTCCAAAATCAACAAGTGAAACAAACATATCAGCTAAACATAATCCCAATAAATTAGCTACTAAACTTAACACCAGTATGAACTAATACTTGACTTATTGGAGACTTTACAAGTGATTTGAACCTTCCTGTTGTTTCCTCTGCGGATGCTCCTCTGTTCCTTATATGAAAATCCTGCAGCACTTTCAGAGAATCATTGCTTTTTTTCCTAAATGATCAACTAGTTGTCTCTAGTTCAACCTGTGTTTTCTCCTGTTTCACTCCTGAGTATTCTCTGGCTGTCTTCACCTATCTGCAGTTATTATGACATCACCTTCTAGAATGTGCACACATCAAGGACACTAAAGGCCCTGCACTGACATCATGCTTCGCCTAGCAATAACTTAGTGCCTGACCCTAATATTCTACGAGCCAACATAAGAAGTTGCCCATCTTTTTTGAGGAAAGTCTCTCTGTAGAGCCTATGCTGCACCCAGCATTACAGGTGAGAGGAGGAAAAGTGCCATCTATTGCACCACAGAGGCAGCAGAAAAAGCCTCTAGATGGCTCTGGATAAAGAGGGTGGGTCCATGGTCAAGTGCTGCTAGGGCACAAGCTGAGGCTTGATCAACCTCAGCTTGGTTGCCTGAGCGAGGGTGTCTGATGTTTAAGACCCGAAACACCCAATGACCTCGAGTAACATCACTGATGATGTGCCCTAGCTATGCATCAGAAGATGTGTCATTTCAAAATAGAAGTAAATAAAATACAAGATTTGAGCCACCATCTGGGGTGGCCATTAACACTAGCGACATAGGAATATCTTGCTGGTTGACCTGATGGCAGGGTCATCATCCTATGGGCTGAGGGAATTAGGGTAAAATAAGTGCAACCCTCAGCAGAGTGCTCTGTACTAGGAGACAAAAATCCATACCCAAAAACAAAGCCAGGAAGAAAATAATTTGTTTAGATGTTCTATGGCATCTAGTACTTGAAACAATAGCTGATGAAATGTTTTAATGCAAGTGCAGATTTGAACCCAGATATTAGCAAACAAAGATGCTGGAAAGTGATGGAAGGAGATTGCTCACATGTAGATAAGAAATACGACATTTTCCCTTTATAATTTTGCCCTGCTAAAATATGCAAAAATGTTCTGTTATTCTATATCCACTTTAAAAATCTACAAGAGGTGAGCACATTTTAGCCGTACTATGTTGATAGGGGAAGAAAATGGATGGATGGATGGATGGATGTTGATAGGGGCTGAAACACCAGGAAGTGAAAACTGTAAAAAATACTCCTCTTGTGCAGTGAGAGTGGAATAATGATAACTATGTCATCTGTAAGGAATTATTTTTGTGTGTGAAGCAAAAAATTATCTCAACATCAAAGTGTGCAATCACATTATAAAAAAGTGTTACACTTAATTACAGTATTGTCCCCTGCATCTTCAGTGACCTTAGTTGCTTCCCTGGGGCCTCAGAACACTTCCTGGAGCACTAGTTCACTAGTTAGCCACAAGACTGCTACCTTGTTGACCTGCCTCTTATCCATCTTACACTTAGGCTCCACACTCTTCCTCCTCTGACATGATCCAGCATCAGCATCAGCTAACCCATTATCTTCCTCTGCATCCATCACACTTGAACCTGTCCCCGTCAGCCTGGTTTTCTTTTGTATTGATATATCTATAAGCAAAGAAAAATACATGAAACACAGAGTGAGTTAGTGAAGGGCTGGTTCATCTCCCTTTGGGCCCAGTCTGTGTGTGTGGCTGCTCTCAGCAAAACAGGACGAGAGTCCAGCAGCTGCCTCACCTTTGGTTACACTGGGAGAGCTATCAGTGAATTACTGTGGCTCCATCAGCTGTGACAATGGACGTGTAGGAGCTGGTAGCTGAATGTCAGCTGTGGTCGTTCATAAAGCACTAAATATTATTTATCCTTTGTGCTCAGCCATTATTTAAAGCTCTGTTTATTTGACTTGAAAAATGTGATGCTGGTTGTGCAATTTAGTGTGACATTTTTATCTCTGTGAGTGATATGAAATGCATTAGCTATACTGACTTTTTTGGACACACTAGTTAATCAGCTCTCCTGCTGTACAGATATGACGAGCAACAACAGCCTGACTCCCTCCTATTTTCAGTTCACGGTGTTTGCAGACTACGGGCCACTCAGATATCTTTTCTTCAGTCTCTCTCTGTTGATCTACATGACTGTAATCTCTGTTAATGTTGTCATTGTTCTGTCAGTCTGCCTGGAGAACTCTCTGCATCAGCCCATGTATATTTTCATCTGCTCTCTGTGTTTAAACTCTCTGTACGGCTCGACCGGCTTCTTCCCCAGGTTCCTGATGGACCTTCTGTCTGACACTCATTTCATCTCACATCCACTCTGTTTCATTGAGATGTACATTACCACCACTTATCTAGAACAAGAGTTGTCTCTCCTCACTGTCATGGCCTATGACAGGTTTGTTGCTATTTGCCAGCCTTTACACTATCACAGTAAAATGACATTTAGGACAGTGCTGCTTCTTTTGATTCTTGCTGTGCTGTATCCTGTGTGTGCTTTTGGCTACTTTTTCTATCAGGCCATCATTTTGCCTTTGTGTGGAGAATTCAACTGCCCAGGATTATCTGCACCATCTGGGTTATAATTAAGCTCTCATGTGTGGACACGACTGTAAAGAACATAGGAAGTCAGATTTTTGCTATTATATCAGTCTTTATTCCCATGTTATTTGTCCTGTACACCTACTTGCACATTCTACTTGTCTGCAGGAGAAGTTCATCTGAATTCAGAGGAAAGGCCTTACAGACCTGCCTGCCCCACATAGTGTCTTTTGGGAACTTTTGCATTTCTCTGTTCAGTGATTTTTCACTGAGTTGGTATAGTGCTGATGAAGTAAATACTTTAGCTATTGTTTTATCTCTGGAGTTTCTGATCATTCCTCCCATCATGAACCCTCTAGTTTATGGTCTGAATCTACCTCGGGTCAGAGGAGTGATTTTTGGGTTTTTAAGGGCAGAAAAAATGGTTTGTTAAAAAACCGATCAAACACAGAGTGAAGTTTAATAAGGTCTTAATTCTCTCTTTATTAGGTGTGTATCTTAAAAGATGAGAAAGATACTTCTTCTGTTCTAACATTACTTTCATTTCAAGCTCCATTTAGTTAATTTTGTTTTAACATTTTAACACAGGCAAAAGTTTAAAAGTTCATATGTGCAGTTTAAATCAACAGTAAACTGGTCCTTGAATGACTCTGAACAAACTGTAGGCTGGTGATTAGCTGTTTCTGTGGTTTCACACGTGTCAGTCCGTAGTTCTGGATTACAGCTTGTTCACTGTGTGGTTCAGTTGCAGCTCTACTGACAACTTGGTTCCCAGCAGCAGCAGATGTTTTTACCAAACACTGACAGGGCCTTAGGACTGAGGAATCACACAGACCCTTTAAGGCTCTTCTTTCCTTTAGATTGTGCTTTGGTGACAAAACCACAAAACAATTGTTCAGTTAGTTCATTTACCAACAACATCGCCCAAATCGTAATCCTTGTCAGCAGTAGTTTGCTGTTGACCAAAGCACAACATTGAAATGCCACTGGACATTAATGCACCAGCAAGAAATAATAAAGCAATGTAATGTATAAATGTATCTCATTTTGCTTCATAATGAGCACCTTAACTTCTGATAATTTAAGTACATTTTGCTAATATTTGTGTAATCATTGAACTCTGAAAAATCTAATATATAAAAAGTGACTAATACAATCAAATAAAAACATGTGATCAGTATTTATTGTCTTCAATTTTATTATTTTTTTTGTTTTTAAACGTTGCTCATATTTTGCATGTTTCCAAATTGTGTTTAGAAATTATCGCAGACCAAATGGAACAACCTGTATGGGACCTGTATTATGACTATTACAGTCATCACAGTTAATATTACTTTGTTAGGATGTGGGGTGAGTGTGTGAGGTAGGACCCAAAAATGCAGACTCTAAAACTCAGAGTAGGAGTGAAATCAGAAAGGAGTTTATTGTAGAAATAACCCAAGAAGGGCAGAGCAGTAAAGAACTGCGGACAGGTCAGGCAGGAACCGGTGGGCCTGAGGACCAAGGTGTGCCGGTGAGTGGACTTTCTGACTGGCAGGTCCCAGACTGTCAGGATTGGCAACAGGACTTCAGCCAGCATTATCACGAACATCGGCACCCCACAGGGATGTGTCCTCAGTCCCATCTTCTACACCCTGTTCACCCACAACTGTGTCGCCTCCCACAAAGACAACATCATCCTAAAGTTTGCGGATGACACTGCAGTGATAGGTTGCATCACTGGCGGGGATGAAGCAGCCTACAGGAGGGAGGTGGCCGGTCTGGTGTCATGGTGCAAGGACAATAATCTCACCCTCAACATGGGCAAGATGAAGGAGATGATAGTGGACATGAGGAAGGAGAGAAGAACTCATCGGCCACTGTTCATCTGGGGGTTTGAAGTGAAGAGGGTGAGCAGCTTCAGCTTGGATAACGAAAAGAACGTCTAGCCAACCAAATGGACAAAATATATAGAGATCCACAACACAGGAACTGTCAGTGTGGACGTATAACACAAAACATATAACCAATGTACAAAATGAGATCCACAGCACAGGAACTGTCAGTGTGGATAACAAAAAGACATACAATACATACCACGAAAATAGGAAATGTCACGGGGTATGCAAGTTAGGTAAGTTAAATAATGCTCCGGCAACGACGGAGCGTCTGCCAGAGGAATAAATAAGGAGGAAGGTAATCAGCGGGTTGCACCCCAGCTGTGCACACAGACAAACGAGTCGCTAATTACTGAATGCGGCAGAGCTGAGGTGCAGATCCTGCAGGATCGAGAGAGCAGAGGAGAGAAAGGCGGAAGAGAGGCAGGTTGCGCCGAGCGGCCCTGACAAATATATCACCCATTTAGATTGAAACAATCAATCAACCAGTCAAAATCTATTTATATATTATGTTTAAAAACAACAAAAGCTGTACCAAAGTGCTTCACAGAAATGACCATATTGGCACAAAATTAAAACAACACAAAGAAAAAGACATTGCAAGATTACAAGGAAAATGGCACATAATTTAAAAACATCACACAAGGTTAAAACCACACGATAAAATATAATAAGTAATCAAGAAAGTCCACATGATAAATGTGAGAATAAAATATGACAAATGATTTGGAAAGGCATAAAACCAATGTGCGTCCCTTTGGTTATGATGTAAAAGCCTGAGTAAACAGGTGTGACTTTAGCACTGGCTTAAAAGCTCTTAGAAGCGGATTTAATGTTTATGGATAAGGCATTCCAGAGTTTAGGAGCAACCACTAAAAACCTCGCTTGCCCCAACATTTCAACTGTGACCACTGGACCTCCAGGAGGCACTGCTTTGAACTTGCTGAGTTGAAATCAATTCTGTAATGGACTGGGAGCCATGGGAGGAAAGAATGGGAGCAATGTGCTCCTGTTTGTGCCACCTGTTAAAAGATGAACAGCCACATTTTGGACGAGTTGAAGACGTGGCACTGACACCAAAGAGGGCAAGAGACAATAATATGATGTACAGTCCATATATATGAAAACCAGAGAAATTGTAAATAATGTCAGTCATAAAGATTTTTAAATTACACTTGACCAAGATGTCTGAAGGACATCGTGGACCTCCTGCTGGACCCGCTGCAGGACCCCCTGCAGGACCCCCTGCAGTTTGCCTACTGGGCAAACAGGTCAGTGGACGATGCAGTGAACATGGCACTGCATTACATCCTGCAACACCACGACTCCCCAGGGACCTATGCACGGGCCCTCTTTGTGGACTTCAGCTCAGCATTCAACACCATCATCCCAGAAATTCTCCACTCCAAACTGACCCATCTCACTGTGCCTGCCCTCACCTGTCAGTGGATTAGTAGCTTTCTGACAGACAGGAAGCAGCAGGTGAGGCTGGGGAAAACCACATCCAGCACCCGGACAATAAGCACAGGTGCCCCCCAGGGTTTCCCCTCTGCTGTTTTCACTCTACACCGATGACTGCATCTCGAAGGACCCCTCTGTCAAGCTCCTAAAGTTTGCAGATGACACAACGGTCATTGGTCTCATCCAAGATGATGACGAGTCAGCCTACAGACGGGAGGTTGAGCAGCTGGTCCTGTGGTGTAGCCACAACAACCTGGCGCTGAACACGCCCA